TTCGTAAAAGTAGTTTTCTCGACAAACGAATCATATTTTTGTAGATGATTTTTTTTTCGATTTATTGGCATCCGTTTCATTTTTTATCCACTAACTTTGTGATGGTATGTGTTTTGTATTTGAAGTGTTGCGAAGGTTCGCTTCCCTGTGTGTTTTTAATGTTGCCGAAACATTTTAATGAATTTCTAGCTTGTTTATCAGGGCAAAGCCATCCCGAATGTTCCGACGGTCCTTAACTAGCCTCGAATAATTCTTGTCACCAGCGAATTTAGGGGAGCAGATGACGCAACATAAGGTGACTAACTTGATGCAACATCAACCGAAACCCTTTAAGCGAAAAAAGCAAGTTATACAAAATCAGAGTGGGCAAAATAATAAAACAAAAAATGATTTTTACCTGAAGTTAAGTCACTTTAATGAGAAGAAAAACTTAAGCTTTTGAAAGTAAGCCGACAAACGCTCTCAATGTGACTCAATGTTTCCAGAACAAAAATTAATTCGCATCTCAAAATTTAATATAACCTAACATTCGATTTATAAAACTGATTTTATTGTATTAAGACTGGATTAATAGCATGTTTTTTTGATTTAATGAAAACCTAGCGCAAATTGAACTGAAGTGTACTCGATAAATGATTTAGAACACAAAGCCATACCGACAACAGTAACAGGTCGAAATATTTTTCTACCTCAAGTATGTACACTCGCGGTGTAATGACACGTCAATTTGATTTTAACAACAACGAAATTTACTTTTCAAGGTAACTTTCGGTAAAACTGCGAACAGAAAAAGCTCTTAACTCTTTTTTTTTGCTCTTGAAATTATTTGGAATCTATATCCAATTATATAACCTTGACAAGGAAAAGCAAAAGCACAGCTTGATATTCTCATTTTTGGCATTATGTCCCTTGTTTGGTACATGAGGAAACTGACAACAAAACCTGTATTATTAAAATTATCAGTTTTTGTTTTGGTAATTATTTACATTTATTATGACGATTTTCAATTTTCCAAAAACTTGGTTTGGAATTTCCAGAAACAACAAAGTTCCGCATATGCCTTAGAATTAGCTTTGGGAGTTCCAAAAAGTCGGATTCATTATTCTGACCATGACAAAAGTCTTCAGAAACAATTAGTCAACTTAAATGACAACAAAAACGAGACAATTTTTATTTGGAGAGCGATTTGCGATGAACGAGTCGGGGCGATGAAATTAGTGATGGTTTTTGTATACACATTATCCAACAACATAGATTTTGATCAATACAACAGCAACATTAAATGTTTAATAAATGGGGTTTTATCTTCTGATTTTAACAACACGTTTATACATTACGATGAGCCTGGGTTTTCTGTCTTCTGCCCGTTTGAAGTCGAATTGAGCTGCCCTGAAAAAGTTTCGATTCAATTTGGCAATCAAACAGTGACAAATGAGATTGAGATAGAACGTCAATTCCAAAAAATTAGCGGATTAGAGGAGAAGAAAATGTCACTAACTCTGTGCTTGCCGTCGATTACAAGACCAATGGAAACTTTCGAACCTTACCAACTTACAGAGTATTTTGAATACCAGCGTCTTGCGGGCATTGATCGAGTATTGCTCGCAGAACTGAACGAAAACTTCTACAATTTCAGTTTGAATGCTAACTCCAAAAAAGTCCTGCAATTTTATAAAGACAGCGGTTTTCTAGAAACTTACCATGTTTCACTTATGGATAACAAGCGTGATTCATACCGGCTCAGCGATATTACTAAGCGAGCTCAATTTACTTACTGCATGGTCAAAACTGCTTTGATTAGTGACTATGCAATTGTTCACGACTTTGACGAAGTAGTTGGTTTCAACAGCAACACCTACAAAAACCTCCCGGATGCAATTTCAGCCGCAGCTGACAAAAATTACACGTATTCGTCATTTTTTCTCAAAGACGAGCCTATTGCAAGGAAGTGTAATTTTAGCAGCGAAATTGAAGGGGCTTCAAATTTCGTTCTGCTCAAGTCGGAATTATTTTTCCGCGATAGTTTCAATCCAGGCAAATCAATACATTCATCGCAGACATGTCAAATTGCATGGCATCATCATTGTTCTTTGATCAGAAAGGAAAACTCATTCTCTAAATTTGCGAAAAATTATTCCACTGTTCCAGTTAAAAAATTTTCGATATTTTTAGATTTGCATTCAGAAGAAGGAATCAATATTATGAGAAGTTTTCATAGCAGGATTGGAATTCCAGATGATGTGGAAAATTTAGAGGAAATCTGTCATCCTGATCGAACTGAAAAGTTAAATTGGCTTAACAATTTGTCAGAAAAACTACTGGAAAACTGTTTGAAAGTGCTGGAAGCTTTAAATTTACAATGACTAATAGCGATGAACAATTCAGCAAAGATGATTACAAACAATACGAAATGATCATAGCTCGTTGATTACAAAATTTACGTTTATTATGTTTTCGTTATAGTCATTTTTTTAGTGATTGAATCAAAATTCAGATGTGTATTAGTTTTACCCAAGTGGGGAGATATATATGTTTTTCAAGCTATTTAAAATTTAAATTCTTCAAAATATTGGATTGAATACAATTTAGGAATTAAAAACATATGAAAAACTTTGATGTTAATAAGAGTATTCAGTGGCTGTGCAAAGGAAAGCAAAGTTTTTGGACCATATTTTAATTGTAATAATTGAAATTTTCTGAGGTATCTTTCAAGTGCATAACAATTGGTATTCAGCTGCTTAACTAATCGAAAATCACCTTAAAATTTGGTTCATTGCAAAAGTGAATCTGAGCTTTGAAATATTTTTAATTTGGTAGTATTCTAGCGCCTTTTTGCAATCAAGAACTTCAAAGAATAAAAAAAAGCCTGAAAAAAAATTGTTTTTTTTTATTTTTCGTTTTTTTTAGTTAATTTTTTAAAAAAAATGTTCATCATTTTTTACTATGACTGCTGAATATGCTTAATTTCTACTGTTTTGTTCTAACAAACACAGAACTAATCCGATAATAATTTTTCGGTCTAATTATTTAAAATTTTGGTCGGAACAATTTGTGCTACTTGCCGTATTATTTTTAACCGGCTAGCCTTGTTGATTTTATAATTATTTTTTTAAATAGATTTAGTTGTCGTTGTCTTTTATGAAGATTTGTTTATATTTTTTAATACAAGTCTATAGTTGTAATGATTTGCTTGAGCCGTTAAATAATTAAAACTTGGTGAAAATAAACATCTTTTTGATAGTTATGTCACATTTTACGTTACTGAGCGTTATTACTTCATGGCGGGAGACTATTGTGGACTTGAAAAATTACTAAAGCAAAAACGTTGCATGGTTTTGAACTGTCTCTAATCGAAACCTTAAATTAGTAAATACCGATTGTGCAAACAAAACTTGGAATCATTAAAACAAATCAAAAAATTTTTACCTACTTCTTCGACTCATTGCCTGCGTAATTCTCTGAAGGTGACCTGCAAAACCAAAAATGTCAGCCATACAATTCCACTAAAAGACAACAAATTATTCACAACGAAAACTCGTCTTTTGGTGGCGACTAAAAGCGCAGCGATTTGAAACGAGTCAAACAGTCTCTACTTGCCAATGCGCTAACACAAAATGTCGCTTGTAATGAAGTTTTGTCACTCTTACAATTGTCGTTTTTCTGAATTGAACCAGTTGTGTTTTTCGTGTAATCTTCGTTTTCGCTAAATCTTCGCAATTCCAGGCAAAATTTGTACTAGAAAATGTTAAAATGTAGTTTCCTTAAATCGATAATTTGTTTTCAGCAATGTTTGTATTCAGGACTAAGACTTGTGTGAAGTTTACAATTCTGAAATACCTCCAAGCGTTTTTGTAAATGAATATTATTTTGTTTGATAGCCAAATGATGTCATTTTTACTAATGAAAACTCCAATTCTTCTTCTAAAAACAAATGTTAAATGTTTTGCCCAAATTTCTGGAGGTTATACACCTTTGATTAGGCCTAACATTGACTCATTAGATTTTGCGTAAATTTTAGTTGATTAAAATAAACCAAAATGACCCATTTTTGGGGTCAAATTTTGTCCCCAAAAACAGATCATAAAATAATTGCACAATAATAACTTTGGTATATTTTTAGGCAAGTTTGTTTCTGATCATTTTTTGTCTAAAGTAGACTCAATTTGAGAAATACGAGCTTACAGTTTCAAGTTTTGTTAAATTTGTCTGGGTAATTTGAATCAGCACTGCTTTCGGCGACATTTTGTTAGCAGGAAAATCTACCAGGAAATTGTTAGCAGGAAATTCTATTCCAATTCAACCCTTTACCATTTTACCCTATGCCAATCTACGCTACGCCTAAATTAAGCAGGAATGATAACAGCAAAATAGCTTGCCTACAAAGGGTAGGACTCTATGCGATAGGACCACCGGTGACCTTAAACAGAGATAGTTGGCGCAGTTATTTCTGTCCAATTAAAAAATTCATAGAACACAGGGTAAATTGGCATAGGGTATATTGGCATAGGGTAAATTGGAATCGAGTAGATTGTCGTGGATCCGAAATTTTAAATGCCGTTCTGCAAAATGTGTTGTGTGGTTTCGCCCATAGTTTATTTGCAACGTTTGTGATGATGCAAATTGGGCCACACGAATTTTTTCTAGATTAAGCAGGTAGTGCCCATAACCTTAAAAACGCTAACAGATTTATACGTTTCAGATAATATCTGCAAAATCCATTTTAATTTTTTGCTGAAAGCATCTGAAACACTTAGCAAAAGCTTTTATCGTCTTTTTAGTCGCATATAAGATATTTCAGTTTATGCTTGCAATTTATAATCTAAATGCACAAAAATGCGCAAAAATTTCAAATTATTTGAATTTCATGGTAAAATGTTCAGCATTTTTAGGAGTTGGCGTAACAACGTTATATGAGCCACAGACGTTATATGAGCACAACATTATTAAACAGAAAACAACACACTTCAAAACTTAGTTTATCGTTTTACAGTAGTTTGCTTTCATGCGTTTTAAAAGATTATTTTTGATAACGTATAATTTATCAATCATTTGTACATTTTTCTCGTCAAAACTCATTACAGCATTGGTACATTTTTCTTTAAATGTTTTCACATAATGTAAGAAAAAAAAGCAAAAATGAGCAGCGGTGAACAAAGCAACTCGAACGCTTCTGTTCTGTTACCCATAGTTCAGCCAGCTGACATCAAAGAGTTCACGCAAGGCGTGTTCTTTTTCCAGGAATTGAACCCAAAAGCAAGACATTCCTTCCATCCTGCCAGGGCTAAGAAGACGACTATTCCTGTTAATACTGTGTCGCCACATCCAAAGTTCTTGGCTTATTTCAACAAGACAGAAATTGGCAGGCGCAAAGGTATGATTAATGGATTCGATGCCGCTTACGTCCATTCTTGGCACCACACTGCTGTATACCCCCCCCCCCCCCACCAACCAAATTATTTAATTAGATTTTTTTCAGCTTCTGTCTCGCTAGAAAAATGAAGCAATTTTTCAGCGCTAATTTAGCGATAATCGATCGATAAAAAATTTGCATTTTTCCTGCGCTAGATTAGCGAAAAAACATTGATAAAATTCGCTATTAACGCAAGTTCATCGATGGCGATCTTTGTTTTTTTTCATCACTAATTTTCAATATGAGCCCAACCCGGGTACTTCAATGTGTTTCTAAGCCGATATTTTTCAGGTCTCGACAGTCTGACCCCAAATGAACTAGCCCAGGTCAGTTCGAATCTTCCGATCGATCTCCAACAGGAACTTCTAAACGACGACGACGGAGGGGAGAGCGATGAGTTCCGAAACTCGCAGAAGTTCAAGTTCGAACAGTGCAAACAAGCTGCTTTTAACCTGTTGATGAAGGTCGCTTTCACTCTCGACACTTTTGATGAAGATGAACAAACTGTGACTGAAGAACTAGAGTCGCTATTGGCTGAGAATTTGGACCAATTGAGTGCCAATACAGCTTATGAGAAGCGAGAGTGGCAAACGCAAGCTTACAAGGTTCAACAGTTCCTAGATTTATGAGTTTTTTTTCAATATGATTGAGTCAACGTAGGGCTAAAGTTAATGAAACTGATTGAGGCAGAACACTTTATGAGTTGTTTCAGGGTACCGAAACGTTCTTTATAAAATTTATTGAGCAACTAAGCAACTTTAGACAGATGGACGTTAACATTGACAGCAAACGAGGTTCAAACTACATTCAAAAGACTTAGTAGAATGTTTTACCAACTTAGGATGTGTTTTAAAATACCTATTGATAAGCTTGTATGAAAAATATTTTAAAGCAATGATGCAATACGGCTTTTTTTTCCTGCTGCTAAAGACATCAAGACGGCTCATATCAAGGCAAAGCCCTGAATGCTTCGACCGCATTTTAAGGTCTATGGAGTAGTGCTCACTTTTGAAAATGGATGACATACAAAATAATGAAAAAAAGCAGAATTCTGTTCCGAGTTTTTTTCTAAATCGTCCCACATGTGCTATCTAAAGTATAAATGATTTTTTTTCGCTTTTAGCGAACTATTAAATAGGCCAAATGGTTTGGCTTTTTTTCAATTTGGAACGATTCTTAAGACGAATTAAATCTCCGCTTACACGTTGATAGCACAAAATATATTGCGAGTTAATTGTCGCAAATTGGCCAAATTGGCAATTTTTAGACCCCATAACTTCAAGAACAATGAGCACAGGTGATATCTATTTTTGAATTTGAGCTGAAGAGAACAAAACTCTTTGAATGATATTAAGAAGCTTTGTCAAAAAGTGCAAGTAAAAAAGTTGCAAATTGTCTGGAGAGAAAAAAACACCCCGAGAACAATTATTCTGACATTTTTTTTTTGAAAATACTTGGAACAAAAACTAATTAAGTTTAATTTTTTAACTAGCTGTTGCTGACAGAATGGTTTTATATCATTCGAAAAATACTGTTGTCTTAAGCTCAAAATTGAAAAAAAAAATATTTTGCCTGTGATAATTTTTAAAAAGTTTGAAAATTGCTAATTGGGCCAATTTGGGACAACTGCGTTTCGTGATATTGACGCGTAAACAGAGATTTAATCCGTCTCAAACATTGTTCTAAATTGAATTGAGTCTTGCCATTAGGTCAATCTACTTTCCTGCAATATGCGAATTGTGTCACTTTGTACTTAACATAGCATTTGGATGTTGGTCAAAAAATCTCGAAAAGCTTTTTTTTTCTTCGAAAACTCCATCTTTTTTTTTAAAGCGAGCACTACTCTATAGACACTAAAAGGCACTGGGAACATTCAGGGCTTTGCTCTGATACAAGCAGTGTTGTTCTGATTAATAATGATAATTTTAGGATGAAGCTGCTGCTGTGGAGCGTGAAAGTGTCGACATGCACACTCCCTCGGTGTTCCAGGCACCCTCTACATCTGAGTCAGCCAAGATGGCAACATCGCCTCTCAATCCACAGGGAACACTCAGAACACCCGTTCCTCCTCTGAACTCCGTAACTAACATTGCACTTATGTTTATATAGAGAGAGTTGCAAAAAGTTGGAAGAAGGTCGAGAGTACTGACCTTCCCTCAGACATTTTCAACGTAGCTTCTGAAGTTGAGTTGATAAACTCTCCTCCTTCAAATTGAACATTGCTAAACTGTATAAACACCTGTAGATGAAAAAAAAAACAGAATTAATTATAAAGATCAAATGACCTAATTGAGAAAAATTTTGCATGCTTAAGCTAATTTTCCAGACAAAGTATGTCTCAAGATCCTCCAAAATTTGGAACCTTTTGCAAATTGTTATAGTTAATGCCAAAAAATTGACCTCGAGTAGTTAAATGGGACAAATTATACCATTTTAGGTTAATGATAAACATTAAATGAACTTGAACGTTAACAATTTATTCCGGCTGAAGAGAAAACCAAAACCACATCAGCTCGTCGCAGGGCATGCACCTTGAAAATCCGTTGGCGTATGAACTTCATTTTGAATCAAATGCTTGTTTTAATTTAATAATGCTAAGCCAAAAAAATCATTTACCGAGATATCGATATATATCCTGTACTTGTTTTTTTTTTCAAATAAAAACTAGACTCCAAAAATTCGCCTTGCCTTGTTTGGGCGTTTGCTATCTGTGAAAATTCAAGCACATAACAGTTTTTTCTTTCTTTTTTTTCAGAAAAAGCCATTTGGGAATGCCTTTCAAGCCAACAAATCGCGAGCGCCTTCTTTAGTTCCAGTTCAGCAGATGGCGACCATTGTGAATGATGCCGTCAGTCTTGCTGGATCCGAGAACCAAGACACTCTCGGGCCCCTGCCGACAGCCAACTCGATGAGCAAAATCAAAAGTAATTAATTAAGAAGTAATAAATTGGTTCACAGGAAGTCAATGGTTCTTCGAGTGACGTAGCATATTTTTCGTGTAATGACTATGATTTTTTTTTTCGTCTGATTACTATGTTTGAACGAATCTTTTGCGTTATTTTCATAATATATCGTTTTTATTACTGAAAATTATTACGCTCTTTATGGGGATCAGAAACAGGTCGCAATACCTGACAATCTCTAACCACATGTTTGAATTTATGAAAACGATTAAATATTATTGTTTTTCTCGAATCAAGTGGAATTTTACTGTTAAACGTTTGGTAATATTTGGGTTGGTTTTGCATATTGCATCTTTCGTTTGATGACTGATTTCATTATTTTCAGGTGCGTTCCGTGGCTCTTCGCGACAGAGGACAACTTCGGGTTCGGACGAGAGCGAGACTGGCAGTCGGAGATCCCGAATGAGCACGAGGAGTGGAAACAGAAGTGGTCATTTGGCCGGACATTCCACCCCTCCAGGTGGGAACCCAAGTCCAAATTTATGCAGAAGCTAATTTTGTGCGACGATTTGTAGCATTGTTTCTATTCCTATGATAGGATCCTTCCTTTTGTTACTTTTGACTGTGATACTGTAACTTTGTTTTCGGTTTCAATTCAGTTTTTGCTATCAATTCGGCGGTTTTTGTAGTCCGATTAAACTACAAACCGTCGCTCCGTAGCAAAAAAGGAGAGGTGCAAAAAGGAGAGTATTAATATCCTGATTGTAACTTTACTAACTTTGAACATTTTTAACCCTTTAATCGACCTAAGAAGTTTGGATCATAATTTCGGCTTAGAGGCCTCAGATTGCATTCTTTGATGAAGGAAAAAAATGCTATCATAAGATGGTCGGACTTAAAGGGAGATTCGACCCCCTCAGAGGTTCGAAACTACAAGAATTTGACCCCTCGTCTTGCTACAATTTTACGATTTATACCTTGTCGGCCGACCGAGCTTAAAATTTTCCAAAAGGCATCTTCGGTGCCAGTATTTAATATTTAGTTTTAAAGGGGTAGCGTACGCCAAAATTTGAAATTTTTGGTCAAAACGTGTTCTGAGAGAGTTCGGAAGATTAATTTGGACGACCTAAACAATGGATCGACAATTGTTTGAAAATGTTTTGGAAATCCCCCATCCCATTAGAAAAAAAAACTGAATCGGCTCTGTACATCTGCGTCATTTTAAAGTGGAGGTGGGCACAAAACGTTTTAAAAGTTTTAAGTGCTTTGTTGCTGAGTCGTAAGTTTTGTTGCATAGCTAATTCAAATTTGAAATATTTTGTCTTGCTCGAATGTTTTTCTATAAATAAACTTTTTTTTCAAGGCAATCCGAGGCAAACTTATGAAAATTTTAGTAAGATATAATTAGCTTTATTTGATGGTTTTTTTTATGGATAAATCCGTTTTGACTAATAGTTTTCAAGGCTAATTTTGCAATTAATTATAATCTCTTTTTTGTGAGAAGCTCAAAAATTTTTTGCCTATGAAACTTCAATTTTCAAAGTAGCTACTAATTTCAAAATTTTGGTTGTAAACCCATTAAATTAATGTTTTTGTATATCTAATTTTTTAATTTAGTTCTTCGCCGACTAAGAGCAAACGGTTTGTAAAATTTTGTGTCGATGATTCTATTTTGGTCAATGTGATGTTTTCTTGTAATTGATAACTGATAAATCGAACCCTCGATTTTTCTTCTCTGTTTTCAATTTCTAATTATCTGGCGTTGAAAATGTGTGAAGACTCAATAAAGCACGGTTAATTTTAATAAGTTCGGGACAGAAAATATGCACGATTAATTAATTTTGGGTTAAGTACCAACAGAAAAAAAAACACCTCTAGCAGTGTGCTTCTTTAGAAAAATCGCGAACTTGTAATGTAACGTGCAGAGGTTGATCTTTTATAAAGATAATGTAAAATACAAGGGCGGATATAATATTTCTGGGACCTACTTAACAATCTACCCCCTCCTCTTCCAAGAAAGGGGGAGATTGTAAAGTAGATCAAAATGGTAGATCAAAATGGTCGATTTTTCCACCAATCAGAATGCAGCAAAATTCGACTTCTCAATACAAGCTCTAGTGCTAATTTACTGTATTTATTTATCGGGGTGGAGATTCTTTAGGTGATACCATAGGGGGAGGGGGATTGTTAAGTAGATCAGATTTCTGCTATATAGCCTCTATTCAAGAAATCAAATGTTTTAATTATTCGATGCATCGTATTGTGCTAAAACTATTGTAGTGCTTGACAAATTATGATAAAAGGCCGCAATTTTTTTTATTTTGGCGCCCATAAGGCAATGAGAAAAAAGGAGGATGCAGGGGGAGTTCTATCTAGCTCCGCATATCCGCCCTTTTAGTTATACACTCAAATATATTTAAAAAAATCATTAAAAAGTTATAATATATACCACCATTGAATTGCTCTAGAACAAATGTTGATCGTCTGCTTCTCTCTTCTTTCCAATTGATGCCGTAGATCTTAGAAAAATGAAACAGATTTCTAAAACGTCGTTGACTGCTCCATATTGAATTGATATCTTTCTTTTGATTTTTTCACTTCGTCTGCTGGAATGTTCTAGAGGAAATAATGACGGTATGCTTCTTTCTACTATATCATTGATATTCTAGCCGCTGAAGAGACATCGTGGCAAAGTTATTGGAAAAAAATAAACTGCCAGGGGCGGATTTAGGAGAAAGGGGTGGAAGCGGACACCCTCCTCCTCCCTCTGGGATTCGACCCCCTGTCGACCCAAAGGGTCCCCCTTTGTACTATTTTGATATATCCATTTTTGGTGACGGACACTAAAAATTTTCTTAAATCGATTTTGGCGCCAATATATAATAATTTTGAGGGTGGAGCGCGCGCCGTAAAAACGTGATTTTTTGGTCAAGCCTTTTTTGGCCTGTTTTTTCAAAATTTTGCTTGCGGCGCAGAAAGTTTGGCCAAAACAGAGTCTTTTTAATGCATTGGAATGGATTTGACAGGGCTGGAAAAATCAATTTGGTCAGCCTAAAAAAAGTCTTCCAAAATTTATTGAAAACCCTCCACCCTCGAGAAAATCCTAGATCCGCCCCTGAAACTGGCCATTTTATTCATTTTTCTTATTACATTACATCACAATATATTCCGTACTGTCGAGAAATGGATTGCAAACAATTTTATACAGATAATGTATCATAAACCTTAAAAAAATCGATTAAAAGTTGGTTTGATGCAAATAGTGACAGATGTTAATGGAATGTTCTAGAACAAATAGTGACGGTGTGCTTCTCGTTGGAGTCCAAAGAGTGTGAAGAGAAGGGATGGATAGTTCACTCTGCAGCCGACTCCAGTGCGGAGGACAAAAGGTACACTGCTGTGTTGATCTACAAGATGATCCATGCATCGGGGGAGAAGATTAGAGATCAGGATTTCATCGAGGAGAAGGAGGGCAGGGGTGACAACGGGGTGCAGATCGATTACTGGGGCAACAAAAAGGTAAAGGCGTGGAATTGAGACCCTAATAAAAAGCCACTAGGCATGGAAGTATCTAGAATTTTATCGAGGGGGGTTTTTCAAAAAATACTCAGAAACTTTATTAATTTTTGGTCGGGCAAAATTGATTTTCCGATGGCTTCCAAAACACCATAAAGACTCTTTCTTTCTTATCTTTTTGCGCAGCTTCCTAAAAAAAAAGCCGGAAAAACTGTTTCTTCCCACTTTTTAGAAGCGTTGGACCAATAAATGGCGCACCCTTTTCAAAATTAGTACATATTGGCGCCAAAGAAAAACTTATGGCCGGTGGCCTGAAAAAGTCATGAAAATGGACCTTTTGTGTCCGCAAGCCAACTGGTGTTCCTTTACCCTAAATCTGCCCTGCCAAAAGATTGTCCCCCTAAATTGATCAATCGAATTGCTCCCCTGAAGTTGAAAAAACAGTGATTTTAACGGCTCTTTTCCAGTTTAAACCTCCTCGTAAAATTACGTAAAGTTAATTAAAAACTGTTGATACGGCAGTTTGCATGTCAGAAACCTTGTGAAAATATATTCACTTGTTCACGCTGACACATTTAAAAAAAATTTAGAACACCGAAAGTATAGGCTTTTGTAAATTGAGTTTCACAAAAACTCATGGGGGACTAGAAAAGTGCCAATTTAACGCTCAAACCGCTAAACTCGGTGGAACCTGATCTAAACTACATTTTATAATTGGATAAATTAAATGTTTTACCACTGTAAAATATTTCATATTAACCAATCATAATCCATCTAACTAACAACCCACTTATTTGTAAGTGCTGAAATTACTTGTAATTTCAGCACCAGAGAGATTTGAATTTAACTTAAGAATTAGTTGCCTCTCCGAGAGAACTTCAGCAGCCGCAATAAACCAGTATACCCTAGATCAATTGAGCCTAGCAGAGACTAGTTAAACACCCTGAGACTAGTAAGTATAAGAGTAAGATTAGGATCGGTATTAGACTAAGAAGTTGCACGAATCTATCCGGCTGAAAATAAGATAGCGTGACGAGCAGACGGTGTACCCTATCCGAAATTACTCTATGAGTTAACCACTTCGCTTATAACTCATCTGGTGCGACCATAAGTCTCGAATAAGACCTTAATAGCTTAGAGCTAACAAAAAATAGATTAGAAATTAGACAAAACATTTTCAAAATGTTATACGGTAATATTTTAATGGAAATGTCTCTACGACTCAATAGATCAGAGCCGATATTCCGAACGATAATAGAATTACCCGGAATTGGAAGAAGACCTCGGACAAGAGACGACATACGACAAAGTAGAAACTTACCATTTAGTTATATGATTGTACGGCAAAAGCCAACACAAAGTTTTGTATTTAGATTCTTATTAGCAATGAATTTAGATTTTCATTAGCAAACATAAAATTTTGAAGTAAATCTTCATGATCATTTCAGGCGCTAAACAAAATTATTAATGTACAATAACGATTGATAAAAAGATCTCAGATCGTTTTCTTAATTTCTGCTGTATTATATAAAACATATTTGAAAAATAATTATTTAAAAATAAAAATAAAAATTAGTAGCATGACAATAAATTGTTTGTAATCATAAATCATTCGTTGTCCCAGCTCCATCACCTAAACATAACAGCAATCATAAGCTCACTAATATCATTAAAGAACTAAATCTTTTATTCAATAAATTTAAATCATTTTAAACTTAAATTCACTCAATTTTTAAAATCAGATCATCAAGGCTTATCCTTGGATCTTAATAAATTTTCTATCTCAATAAAATTAAAACCTGAGCATCAAGGCCTATCCTTGGATCAACAGAACAATGTTGTTCTCCCCCACCCACTTAGCAAGTGTCTAACGACCTCAAACGTCGATTCACTACCCAACCTTTTCAAAAGACCCAGGACTAATGGAAATTTTAAATAATACTAACCATTCAAATTAGGCTAAACAGTGAAGAACTTCGGTTATTCATCCTTCACTTGAACCCTCCTCTTACCAGACCCAGGATAGATCTTAGACTTGGTAAGTTTAAAACAGTATCTAACGAACTACTTGCGTTATACCTAATTATACCTGAACCTTGTGGATCGATTTACTATTCTCCAACCCTTGAACACAATCACTACCCCTAAGTAAGATTAAGTAAGTTAACACCTTAGCTTAGACTAGCCACGAAGAGTAAAAAATCATAGTCCGGAATCGATATACTTTTCTCTCCAACCTTGAACAAAAAGATAAGACCCAGGTTAAGCTAACCAAAAAAAATTGTAAGGACTAACAGTCTAAGGAAATAGAAATAACTAACAACTTCTTGCATCCCTCATCCTAAACCTTATGTTATTCAAAAACTTAGGAAATAAACAAGCAATCCTTTTACACAACTGTGAAATAGATAACAAAAAATACGATCTTGTAATCACACCTCATACACAAACAGTTGGATACATTAGAACAAAACGACAAACAATAAAAAGAAAAATTATAAACAAACAAAGACAAATCACACGAAAAAGATTTTCAAAAAATAGAAACGCATTTTCTGAATCAGAAGCCAGCAGTTTAGATGAACTCTACAAATTAAAAGAATCAGTTGATAAAAATTGTCCCATCCACGATCAATTATATTTTTCCGACTCAGAAACAACTTCAAATTCATCAAAAAGAGGAAAAAGAAGAATAAAAAAGCAATACAAACACAAACCAGTACACTTGTATAACTGGAATCAACCAATTAGACACATCGATAGTTATATATTAACAGTCATCAAACGAAAAAAATGAGCCACACTCAAAGTGACGATAGTCCAGATGATGAAGCAGTTTACCCCTTTCTTATAGATTCACCCGACGATAGAGGTCAACATGATTTTTGCAAGAACTTACTCGTAAATTTGTTTGAACCCGGAATCAGTCCATGCAAAGCAGAATTCTCAAGTGTAAAAATCAAAAGACAAATTATTGAACATTATTTGAAAGACATATGTTATCTACCACAATAATATGGAATCTACACCATAGAAGTCAGCACACCCAATACAGCCCATCGCAAATATATAATCCAAACAGACGATATTGAATTAGAATTTTCAAAAGTATTCCTAGAATATATCAAAAGCATACAATATCATAATTCACAAAGAGCAAACTCCATATTCACTAACGAAGTTTTTGCAATAATATATACTTATATATCTATATTAGAAAAAACAGAATTTCAAAGTATCTCACCAACTGAAACATCCAAACATACAAAAGTACGAAATGAAATCGCATTATTTTCAACATTTCTACATATAATTAAAGAAAATTTCACTAAAGATGATGTTTCACAACACACTAAACATGATTTACAAAAGATTTTAGCATGGTTCAAAATAGATTATTTCACCCACAATTTAGATTTAATTTCACAAGCAAGAAAAAATTTCAGACCTCAGAATACAAATGACGACACTTTCCTTTCAGAACAATCAGACTACGTTTGGGACCCTGAATGGTCTCATCCTACAATGATAAACATCCCACAATCTATCTCAAGTCAAGCAATAAGTACAATATCTTATCACAGAGATTATGTAAAAGTAATACCATTAACCATTGATGCAACACCATTAAACTATAATACATTCTTACCTGATACACGAAATAACAGTTTAAATTCGACCGTCATACATAACGAAAACCTTAATGGAACTAGAAATCTTACACAACAAGATATTCAAACACCATCACACATCATAAATGAAGAAATCGTTCAAACAACAACAACTACACAACAAAGTATTTCACCAATACAACCAAATTTGACAACACCAAGAAATACAAATACTTCATTGGCACAAGTAACCTTACAATCAACCGTTAAACTATTCCAAAATATTCACATATGGATTATCAAACGTATAGACCAATGACAATACCGTCAAAAACACGAAAACCATTCACAAGAAACACCTTTGCAGAACACAATTATAATTATGCTCACAAACTAAGAACAAACCAACCTCCCCGAAAAAATACACAAAATTTTAATCACGTATGTTCCAATTATTGGAATCTCCCGAAAACATCGACCAATTCAGTAAGTTTTCCAGATAATCCACAACCTACACAGGATTATAGTGAAAATTACCCATTCTCTCAACAAAATAATAATAATCAATATACACCATATAATACAAACTATTTATCATCTGATAAAGACGACTATCATCAACCAGATATTTTTTCAGCATACACTGAAGAATATCGCACACAAAGACCACGACAACCTCAACCACCTCGAAATATAAAAATTTACCCACAAAATCCAACAGATATACAAAATCCACAACAAATGCATATACAAAACCCATTTAACACACAATCTTTCCAACCAATACAACCACAAAACCCAATGTTAATGCAGTCTTATCAACCAACTCAAATGCAAAATGAAATACCGCTTCCATATTACCTTCAGCAACACGAAATAACAAAAAATCAACTTTCAAATTTTTCGCAAATGCCAAATGCCGCAGAATCACTACAGATGACAATGAATCCATACCTCATGGGTGGATCATCAATAACATCCAATAAACCACTGATGGTATTCACAGGAACAGATTCTGAATATTCTGTAGAAGACTATTTAAATGCAGTAACAGCAAATTTGATTTTAAATATAGGACCTGAACCAATTAATACGCCACTACATCAAAACTGGATACATCGACGCACAGAGTTGATACAAACAACTTTAGACGGCGCAGCCCAAAAATGGTTTTCAGTATTGCCTATAGAAATAAAATCAAATTGGAAAAGGTTTACACAAGAATTTTCAAAAATGTTTGACTCCGAAAGAAAGAAACAACACCAAAGAGTTTTATGTAATGAAATTCGCAGATTACCAAATGAAACTATCAAACAATTAGCAGTACGTATCGAAACACTAGTTCGAAAAGCATATTCACTTAATACACATGACTACAAAAACACAAAAATG